TAGTGTGATGAACAACGAACGGGGTAAACCCATAGTCACGAAGGCCAGCTGTTCATTGATGGAAAGCGGTAAACTGAGCCCCGGAACTTGGAGTGGCGAACCACATGAGGCCCCACTAGGTTGGGCTTGCTATTACAACGGTTCCAATTCAAGTTGAAAACGTTTAGAGCATAAATATGCAGACTAATTTATATCACATGGTAAACACCGAGCATCAGATGACCATTGTTGCGGATACACCCGAATAGACTTTATCAGCACCTCGTACTCGTCAAGGTGGGACCCCGTAGCATGTTTTAGGCAGGAGACTAAGACCTGAGCAGGGTTGCTGTGCCAAAAGCACCGTAGTATTTACGACTAAGTGGTGGTGTGCTGTGCATACTTATATAGCACCGTACAACGAAGCCTCTTTAGGAGCCAATGTTGTTCACACGTTCGAGCTCAAAAGAATAGCGTACCGGAAAATGTTGCAACTTTATTAACTATTAAAAGTTGTATAATCGGCTCCATACTACATTAGAAAGTGCTGTAGTCATGGAATTATTAGTAATTGGTCGTTTTCAGTCTCCGAAATGTTATTCACCACAAATTCTCCTTCATTATCGCACAACTAAACAGGAAAATGATGCCTTACAAGGATAGCTGCAGATTAGTAATTAGGCGAGACAGAAAGAGTGCATAGATGTTAAATTAGAGCTAGTCTGTTCGAATCTAATACATACGAGAAAACTGAAAAGACATTAAAACAAATAGCTCATTTTCTACACTGAATCGGGGAAAGTAATTTCAGTTAAGGGAGGGTTCATTTAACGATTTTTCCAATGCGCAACAATATCCTGAAGATTCAACACGAGGATAGTTTAAAATATCAAAGACCTATCAGTTCCGGTCTGAAGTGCTGACAGTTATTGGTTATTAGCGTTTCTCATCTACCCATATTTCCGAATGAGCCGGTCAAGAGGTTTAAGTTGTCTTCCCCGGTGCTTTGAGCCCCAAGATCCGAACTTCGTCGCCCAACTTTGGTCGTACGCAACCTTGCTGCTGTATATGTCGATGCCAGGCTCATCTTAGAGGGGATTATTTGGTTCTCTGCTCCAAGTCTCGAGGTTTAGACCGCCGGTTCCCATGAGGGGGCAACAAGCCCTCGTGAGTATGGAGTTATCCCGTCTGCAGTTCGTCGCGCAAAACCGTGTAATAAAAAATGCCAAGTTCCAAAGAAACCATACTGCGTCAACTTTGAACAGCCAACCAACCACTTTCACATCCGCATTTTCACCATATCACATAAGCTGGAACAACGAATAACCCCTCATCATCAGCATTTACAATTAGCCTTTGCAGTCGCACAGCATATTAATTTTCATTCCCATTGGTCCAACTAGAGATATATGGGTAATCTCCAAACCAAAATGTGTGCCCGTAAGGTCATACAGTCACAACAGTGAGAAAGTTTCCGGAGCGACAGTACAAGCGAATCATGACGTTCTCAAACTCTGAGGCCTCTTATCGGGTACACAAAAATTGAAACCCTGTGATAAAGCTTCCAGTTGTAGTCGATTCAATGCAAATTGCGATAAATTACAGATGCACCCTCTGGGTTCTTTTGGAAACTCATCAGTGGTAACTGCCTTGGATAACGATTCCGATAGATCCTCGAGCAACTCACTCCGACTGCAGTTTGCGGCTGAATTTATAGAATTTGATTCGACACACAAGGCTGAGACTATCCAGAATGGCGTACATTGAGGAAATTTTCTGTCTGAGTTAGTTGAGTGATGTGCCATTGAATATTTGAATCGTGATGTGAAAGTCATTTATTGCTATCTTTCCCAACCTAAGGAATTTCGTAATGTGTCCCTTCAGTCGTGAAAACTTATTCCTTGAGGAAGATATATATATATATATATAATCTGGATGATGGATAAGTCAGGGGCAGATAATCATTTAGCTGTAACATGTCAATGTTCAACCAATAATGAAGTGTTTCCAGTCACATGACTTCTGTCTGTGTGAAGCCAAAGTGTGTATTTAGGACTATGGCGGGCAGGAGCCTACAAGTCATTAGTTGTTTTTGTGACAAACGCGGACAATCACTTTGCGAATACATAGCTATACAATGGAAACCGAAATTCGTTGCTAAAGTGTCACATCTTTGAGAGACAGAGAGCATGATCAAACACAGATGGTGTAAGATGCTGATGCTCAGGGAATTGTAAAACTATCAAATGCGGAAGCGATTCCAATTCGTTTGCAGGTTCCGACACAGAAACAATCCAGCAATAACTGATGACCATGCCAAATATTGAGATTCCCGACACACCAGGTGACTTTACTCTATCAATTGCGGCGTGCAGAGCGACGCGGACTAAGGTAGATTTTGGTCAAATCGAATGTGGATGTGGAAAATCAGTAAAGTTCAAGTTTGTATCAACAAAAAAGAGCGCGGCACTCAAGAAAAGCAGTTGAACAAAACAGACAATCCTTTTTTAACGTTGCCGAATCAGCAAGTAGTTATTCGTAAAGGAGGAGAAATTTGCCCCCTATAAGTTAACGGTTTGGTCGTCAATGAAGATTGTTAGGCGTACAATTGTTCGTCAGAGGGACCAAAATAAAAAAGTCTATTGGACACTAGTAGCTGCAGAGGCAGCAAGACGTTCTTCGATTTCACGTTCTTTGGAAGCTGTATCGACCGGTTTAGCAAGACCGAAAATTTTCGGATCACGAGGAGGATCGTCTTGGTTTGAAGTGAGTGGTATTGACCGCGGCAACAAATTCAACTTCGGGCGTTCGAAAGTACTATCACCTCCAATAACGGGTTGTCTGGGCGGTGGGCGCGGTTCGAAACCGGATCGTTCAAAGGCCGGTCGGCCAAAGCTTGATGATGACGATGAACCGCCACGGCCGACGACGGCACCACGACGCCAATCACCTCCGCTAGCGAGATCATCCGCGGGATCAGAGTCTTCTCTGGAATGCACAAAAAAAGAACATTGTTTTGAACGTCATCACTACCATTGTAAACAGAACTTCGCTGGTCCCTGCCACGCTTACAATGTACACAAAGTTAGTGAAAGAGTACATGATGGATGAGGTTTTGGCTTTGAGTGAGCCTCTATGTACAACATAATTGTGCATAGATACATTTTCAAGAATTCGGACCTGATAAGAAATGACAAGAACACCACTGCCATCGGTTAGCTGCCACCAAATTTTGTTACAGAAGCTCTACAATTACGGCATTCGTGGTTTCGTGTTTGATTGGATTAGAACGTTCATCCGAAAACGGGCCGTATCGGTTCGTGTTTCTGATTACCAATCGGGTTCTATCAACGTTAACTACGGTGTTCCACAAGGGTCTGTACTCGGTTCCCAACGTTTGTTCGCATTCATAAGTGATTTACCGAATATGTTAGGGTCACTTTCGTGCGCCGGTTTTTGTTGCTGTATTTTGGTTACTCCATTGGATGAAGCAGAAAGAGAAAGATAGGAAATCTGAAGTAGAAGAGCAGAGAAAATGGAGAATTTCAGTAGACTAAGGTTGCAAGGACGACATTCGGGACTGCGTATATGCTCACCCCATTCTACCCGCACCAAACTATGTAAACATCGACAGTCGAAGACTTCAAGACGATGATCATTCACGGGAAAATCAAGGGTCTCGGAACCGCGAAGCACAACCGAACACACACTGGAGCAGTCTGCGCAACCCTTTAGTTTCAAGGAAACATCATGTTTGCACTAAAAATCTTCGAATCCTGCATAAGTTGCTCGAGTCTCAGAAATGCTGTCGGTTACATTCTTGATTGCGCTACAGTCCTTTTTCACACGACTTCCTAAGTCGGAGAAACATTCCACTAACTCTTGGCCATCAATCATCAGATTCGGAGGAGACGCCTTGTAGGATCACTCTGCACTCTGAAGGTGAAACGCGCACACCATATGTAGTTACAGAACTTGAGAGACAGCGTCCTGTGTATTCTCCATGCATTTCTATTTCAGCCTACTTGCTTTTATCGAATATAAAGTGATACAATTTTCAGGAAGGAGGAAGCACAAAATCCACAAGGGCTACCGTACAACAAACAACGGGCAAAGTAAGGCGGCGATGGTGTAATTCGTACACGTCCTACGAGACGCCAATTTGGTGACGTTACAACCAGATCGCATCCTCCATGCACTCCAACACACGACCAATGTCTTCAGTATACTCTAAATCGCATGGCTTCCTCCAGCTCTTCATTCGAAACATAGATGTTTGAAACCATCAAGTATATATATATATATATATATATATATATATATATATATCACACGCCTTAAAATCATTAACCATGCACTTTTGTGCGCCGGTTTTGGCTGCCCATTTGGATAAAACAGCAAAATGGTGATTAGAATGTTGAGAGCAGATTGAAGCGCATTCACATAGACTGAAGTTACAAGAATAATGAGTGGATGCGTGAGCGCCACTGTTTGCGACACCCAGCCAGGTCGCTGTATCTAACCATCGGTGAGCATGATCGTGGGGACCCCATCNCCCCATCCAGGGAGCCTAGCGGGACCTATGTGAGCCAGTCTCCTGGTCAGGGTTTTCATGCCCTCATGCCAGGTCTTAGTTTGACCGCTCTTGATCTTTCTCCAACCGCTAACTGCCTCAGCAAACATCGCTCGCAGTGGCAACCTATCTGGTGACATGCGTAGCACGTCTTAACCAGCGTAATCTATGAAGGTCGACCACTTGTTCTAATGGACGACCTCGATTACCTAAAACTCTACACCTAACCGCAACATTGCTAGTCCGGTTTCCCCACCAGACTCGTGCAATGCGACGTAGACAGCGGTGTTCGAACACCGAAAATCTATTTTTATCTTGTTCCCGTAATGGCCAAGACTCTGCACCGTAAAGCAGCACTGGCCGAACTGCAGCAGCATATACTCGACCCTTCACAGACAGTCGGATGTCGCGATGGCGCCACAAATGCCAACCGAGCCTTTTGTATGCGCGCCGACACTTCATCTGTGATGCGTCCGCCTGATGAGATGTAGCTGTCCAGATAGCAAAACTTGTCTACTCCTTCTGCTATTTCCCCAGTCAGGATGAGACTGGGTGCTGGACCAACCCAATCTTGGAGCAACATTTTACACTGTGAAGGTGCAAAACGCATACCGACCATGGCTACACTAGCACTCAAACTATCCAGAAAAGCTTGCAACTTACATGGACCTTCACTTAGTAGCACAATGTCATCATCATACTCTAGATCAGACAGCCTGTCACCTGGGAATAAATCGATGCCACTATTCTCGCACGAGGATAAGGCTGTTTCAAGAATTAAATCTGTGACAAAGTTAAATTGAAAAAGAGATAAGGCAATTCTGCCGGACACCACTTTCCGTGGTGAATTCGGGTGAAAAAGTGCCGTAAGCTCTGACTCGGCTTTGGCTATTATTGTAGAGGGATTGTAGTATTCAAACCTCTCAAGCACACTCTTCTGAGAAAGGCAGCACCAGAGTTTAGAGCGGTCGAATGAGTCGAAGGCCGCTTTCAGATCGAGGAAGATAGAGATGGTGAGCCAAGATAAAGTGTCGGTGATCCAGAAATTGGCGAAGAGTGAAGATGTGACCTTTACAACCTCGACCAGGTCTAAAACCAGCGTGATTCTCACGCGGGCACTCTACCCGTTCAGTTCAGTTCTTACAACCATTAACCATGCACTTTCGTGCGCCAGTTTTGGTTGCGTGCGGCGGACAATCGAAGGACTGCGAAAAGTTTAAAAGCAATGCTGATTCCCACGTTGCTTCCACAAGAGGGTCTGTCACCCTTCTTGTAAATCTTTAAGATGGCTGATTCACAGCATTCAATTGGAGCATGTTCTCTTACACACCATTCTCGGGAGTTTTGTCACCCCCAAGACTAACGCTGAACCTCCATCCCCAAACGCCGATAGGGACAGCTTATCATTTTCAGATAATTTATTTCCCGGGAAACTTCCATTTCAGATTAAGGACTGGGAGTGTTTGGGCAGTGTAAGTTGGGGGTGATAAGTCAAATGTCGATGGGGATCAGTTGAACTGAGCCTCGAAATGTTCAGCCCATCGATCCAGATGGCGTTGCTGATGATGAATCAGTGAGCCAGCAGATTCTTCAATTACCCCACTTACGACGATTTGCCAAAAGAAAACCACAAAACCACAGTTTGAAACACGTCAGACAAGTCTGCAAGTAACACAGTGGTGCGGTCCACTCAAAGATCGGTTCATCATTTTTCCGTAGCACTTGCTCGTTGATACGGACTTCGTGGACACTAACTGGTCTACATGAATCAAGTAGGTTTTTAAACTAGCACGTACACCCTACAATTGATTGAAACCACATGTGCAACGTGATTGAATCATCCCCTTTTCATAAGAAAATGACGGTAAGGTACTGGCGGAATGTGCCGAAAACTCACCTTAGTGCAGCAGGTCTGTAACCACCCCGGCGTCTTTCAAAAGGTTGGTCACTACGTCGGGGTCCACCGAACATATTACGCTCGCGCCCAAAGCCACCTCCCCTGTCAGACTGGAAGACAAAAAGTGAAAACATATTAGCGTCGAAAAGAACGTTCACTCTTCTGTTGCTTAAAGTACCAACACCTAAAGTACGCAAAGTGAATAGCTTGGCACAATTTACAATTTTCCTCAACTGCACACAAATTTGTGAGTTAACTTCATCGTCCAAATAAAGTAGATTGGCAAGACGCACAGCGTCTTTAAGACACTCTTTTTGCTATCATCATCCATTCCAGCGGGCAGCCTACATTAAAAAACGCACCGCTTAGGCCTAGCGAATGTTCATCACACTGCGCTTTCTGATGTGATATTGATTTCAACATATATATATATTCAATATGTAATCAATTACTTGGAACTGGCAAACATGTCACAACATATAACGAAAAAATCTGTAGAATGCACTCAGGTTGTGTGGGCATGTCACTTCTCGGTTTCCTTAACTGAGGAAAGAGGATAACATCAGGGTCCCCAGCCAAAGAACTTGGCTGGGAGACCAGACCTGCGAGACAGTAGGATGAAGCTCAGAGTCCGCAGACGATTACAGGCCGGTGCCCAGTTCATCGGATTATACGCTCTTCGGACGGGGTCAAGCATCCGAGGTGCTCGATACACCTCGATGCCCATTTGAGCCAGTGACCATTACCACGACCAGGAAGGTGTGTAAGTGATTCAAACCCCTTTTTGGTTGGCTTGGAATTAGGGATTTTAACAAACTCCCCTAGGTGAATTGCCAGTGGTTCACCGACCAGAATGTTGACTTTTCGTCCTCTCACATTGGTGGGAAAACACCTCCCCCACGAGAATGAGTGGGGTTTTCTCTGCGGGGGCTATTCGAGACGCTTGGTCACAGAAGCATTTCGCAGGGTGTAAGGGAAGGGGGACCAGTCACAACGAAAGACAATCAAATCAACCGTACTGAGGCTTCCAAACTGTGCATTGAACAAATAATGGTACGATAATCTTTGTAACAGAAAAAATCCATGATTTTCTTTGCGGGGGAGGGAGTGAAAACTTTCAAGTTTGGGGAAGTTACAATCGGATTTTCAACTAACCGAAGTCTGACCCTCAAGACGGTGGGGCGGGGGTTAAGAACCGTAATCTATTGGGGGTCGGCGTCTAGTTCATTAGACCACATGCCTTTTGGACGGGATCAGGTATCAAAGGTTTCCAATATATCTTGAGAATTGATTAAGCCGGTGACCATTGCCGCAAACAGGTGTGTGCTTCTTACGACCCTTCTTAGTTGGCTTTAATCACGATTTCATTCGATTACCCAAGGGTAAATGCTTGCGGTTCATCGACCCGATTATAACCCTGGATGTTGGGCTTTCGCTGTCGCTCTCTGATGGGAAGACATCACCGATACGTAAAGAAAAGGACCTCCTCAATAGAGGCTATGTGAGATGCTTAGCCGTGGAGCATTTCGCGAGTTACAACGGAGGCAGCTAATGCTCAAATTACTTTATCACTCTATCTATATGTGCGCGACTTGCAACCAATGGATGTTTTGTTTCAATATAAGGAATTTTCATTAGAAAAAACGTTGTTCCGCACAAGAGATTTCAAATTACGTTTGATTGAGAAGGGTATTTCTGTGTACGAAAGATTCCTGCAAGCGTTTTGTCTGCAGTTTAGGCAAACGTGTCGTCTGACTGGCAAAGAACTGCACAAAAAAGCAGGTGAAAGCATACGAGTGAAAGTCAACGTTTCGCTTCTGTAAGTAGTACCACTATTAGTATTCATCAGCTCCTCAGGTATGGAGGTTTTTGCAGATTTATTCTGGGCGACAGGGATCGGAACTGAGAGCGATAACATGATAGTTTATAGCATAATCAATGATTGGGATATGGAAGCAACTTGTGGACTAAAGATGAACAAAAATCAATATGCCGATTAACAAGTTCAGTGTGCAAAGAAAACCAACGGAGAGGATGAATGACGACTAATAATTGTCACGCCGCAGCTGAAAAATCCTGGTTTCGAAACCCGAGGAAATTTGAAGGTATTAGAGCAAGGAAATCAAAAAACTAACTTAAAAAAAGACCGGGTACCGAGCTTGCGTCTTTGAGAGAGAAATTGTTGACGTTTCTACAGGGACTGAACGCGGAAAGTCCGTTTAAATCAGTAGCCAAGTCAAAAATTAGACACAAAATGGAAATTCCATGACACGGGATAACGTGGAAAGGGAGAATGCAAAAGATTGAAAATATATTTACAACCATGCGAAGTTCAGTTTTTAACCAGAATTGTTTGCGAAGCGGTTTATTCCGGGTAAGCTATCATTGAATTATTCAAACCATGAGTATTAAAAATTACATGACGTATCACAGAAAAGGAAGTTTTTGGACGGTTACTTTTCCCCTGGTTTGATATAACCTTAGTTGAAAGTTGTTCATTTTTTAAACTTGCGGATGGCTCTCGAGGTTTAAATTACGGAATAACTCAGACTCGTTTTTCTCATTAAACGGCGGTAACGTTGTTCAGCCCTAAATCATCTTAGACCACGTGCACAGAATCCAGGACCGCCGTCCAAATTCTCCTTTTCCGACAAAAGGCACATAACTGCGCTCAATAAAATGAAGTAAAAGCAACTACTGCAGGCATGGTGTCATTTTTAACTTTATATATATAGATATATATATATATATATATCGCAATGGCTTTCTGAAAGTTGATGTAGCTGCACCTATTCCATTTTTCTTATCGCAACCACACACAAACACCAGTACGAAAGCCTGAGGCACATCGTGATCAGATAACCATGGCTCGAAAACACTGTGAACAGGGATAATAAGCGGAAGGATTATTCGATACACTGTGTATGTTGACACTTTTTTTGAACAGGTGGTTACTAGGTCGGAAGAAAAAACTGGCTGGGTGTATCCTACATTTAGGACTGTTCTATCACCGTAGATTTCCGTCGTATTTAGAAACGACCGCAAAGTCCTAGAGATAATCAAACGTAAAACCTATCGCATCATATCAGAGCGTGGGACTGTATACATCGGTCAGGGTTATTATCCGGAACGAATCACCTCTCAAGATACGAAAAATATCACTTTTTTAAAAGTGGGATCAATTAGAGCAGAGAATCGCACGAATCATACACCTTTTGACCTCGTTCATCCAATAAAGATCCTATATTCATCATTACCATTTAGCCAACAATAGCTCACATCAATTTAGAAACCAATATGACGTCGACACTTAAAGGGTTCGTTAAAAAGCACGGAAACTCTTGACTTGCCCCAAACCACAACCACACTTTCGCCTGATTTGACAAAACATTATGGTAAGCCCACTGAACGGATCACTCTCGGTTTTAGAGCCACTCACTCCGCACTATAATGCAATGACTTTGATGGCCGTCTCTCGGGCATTATCATCATCATCACCATCGTACAGTGAGATACAGAGAAGCGAACTTGATCGCCGCCGAGCTTACATTGTACA